GATTCGATAATATTGGAACATGGGTAAGGGATATTGTGACTACGATATTCAGATAATTTCATTTGGTTAGCAGATTTTGAAATGTCATTCTGTGGATTTTGTGACTACAGATGAAGTATTATAATTAATTGAAACGGGAATTCAATAGTCATTTATTTCTCGTGTTACAGGCTGTGTCGTCGATTAAAAATAATCCAGGAATGGGTCGTATCCAATCCAAGTTACAATAGTTCCTCTTGTACTGTCCCCACTCTATTTTTTATTATTCTTTTTATAATCCTCGTTTTAAAACATTTCTTATTATTTAGTAAACGTTTCATACTTATATTATTGTATGTTATATAACTCAATTATTATTCCTCATTATTAGAAGAAAATAATTTCTTTTACCGGTCTGAAAATATCAAAAAAGACCTAAAAGCCCACCGTAACATTCGAGGGTTAAATATGTGCTTTCCACATTTCTAAACGTTCTAAATGTTTAAATATCCCGTGGACAAACAGAATCAGCATTTCCTGCAATCAATTACCGACAATACAGAGTGAACTGTCGTTATCTATTAATCATTTCTCTACTCCTCGTACTCGATTCAATTCTCTTGTTTCTATACACATTTCGGTGCGCAACAAAGTCACCGTTATTATAATTTTAGAACGATCCACCCGATTCCAAGCGACCATTCAAAACCGCCCGTGCTCGTTCTGTAATACCTTTCAAACTCACGAAAATTTCACTCCCTCGAATAATTACAAATTCCTGACCCAGTCGAGTTAACCGTTTTCCAACTATACGAATTTCCAAATATCTACACGCACTATAATTACACGTACACTGTATAATAACTATGAGCTCCTGGCTATTCACCGTCAGCTGTAAATAATTCCAAGGTTTCTAAACGCATCGACAGCAGAATTATACGTTATACCAGAAACTACGTAACGTTGCGACGTTTTCAACCCCCTGCTTTACAATGTTCTTTTACGACTACATTCTCAAGAGTTACTTTATTGTTAACAATTTCCCACTTAAAAAATGTCATCTGTTCTTATGACAAATGTAACATTTACTCGAAATCTCAAATGTTAATGTCAGTGAAACAGTAAAGTATCAGGGTCGAAACTCGATCTTCTCGAATCTCGAGGACAGAGAGGGATCTCGAATGGATCGCTCGAAGATCCCAGCCAGACCGACCGGGAAACGGGTCAAAGCACGGCGAACCGCGAACGATTCGAGCCAGATACCAGGGAGACGATCGAGCTGGGACGGAGGAGCAATTGGAACACGAGACGCGAACGATAAAGGGGCGAGGGGGAGGGGAAGGGTCAGGAGACGTGGAAACTGTGGAATTTCGTGGGATCGAACTCTCGAGGACGATTTGCCAACCCCTCGGCTGGCAGAGACCGAGAAACGGACCGATATATTCCTGGCGACTTCGCGACGCGAATTAACGACGCCGCGATTATCCCGCGACCGAGGGAGCGTACGATGCACCCGAGAATAAACCAGGTTCTACTCCCCCTCCCCCACCCCTCCGCCCCTTTTTTGGCCAGAACTACCGAAAATATTGCGCCACTTGGACGGAAGAGTCGGGGGTGGTGGATCTTGTTTCCTGGACTGGATCGAGTAAATCTTTCGAAAATAGAGCAAAATTGCAGATTGTGGTACAGCGTCCTGTATATATGTTGTTTCTTTTTGGCTAGACGTCGCGAGAACGAAAATACGGAAGTTTTATGCGGGAAGTATCTGGACCGATGATACAATCGGACAAAACGAAAACCTGTATGTTTTGGGTCGGTGTTAGATTAATCATTTGTCAACGGTTTTAGAAGTTTCTTGTAGCGTTCTAAAGAGTGTCGGGAATAAGTATTATAGTAAATCATCGATGAGTGTTCAAGCGTCATTCCCACCATTGGGCACTTGACTGGTTCCACAGAGAAGTCAAACACTCAGTGCCGAAGACCCTTCGGATACTCATCGATGATTTACTGTATATGTAATTTAAAGCATCTAATTCGTCAAATTCAATCAATACGGCGATCTTTTCCCAGTGGATATGCTTAGAAGATACCAAGCAATCATAAACAATAACAGATATTGGACAACATAATTTGATTTAATTTATTATTATTAACAGAAAGACCCTTTCTAAAGAAAAATTTAATAATATCATCGCATGACACAATGTATTGATAAAATTGAATAATCAAGGATCCTATGGATTCAGCAACAAGAACCGAGAATCATGTAACAAAGAACTATTTGAAATTCTGACTTTTTCGTGATCGAACGGCCGTTTTAAAATACTGTGGCGCGACTGCATTCGTTAAAATGAATTCCGCGGTCGATCCGCGGCCCATTGTCGTCGATCGACGTGCCTAACGAAGTACGGAAATGGTGAGAGGGCCGCCGCGGCGTCACAAAGGGACAAAGCAACAAATCAGCGAGTTAATATTGAACGGCCTAGTTTTTCGAATGGTTTCCGAAGCGGTCTCGGTCGGTCGAGTCTCGGGGACTGATGTTTCGGAATATCGTACCATCGTTCTCCCTAATTGCCGTACAGTTTTTCAAGCTCGAGAGAGAAGCCCCCTTAAGAATCTCTCTCATTATCATACCCGATCGAACGTCTCTGACTGGCCAAGAGTTGCGATCTTTCGTTCGGATCCACCAACCCACTTCTTTCAACTCTGCTCACTCTAACGAAATATAAATGTAACCAGCCGATCGGCTGGTGGAATGAAAAACTTTTTCACCGGCGAACTTTCCGCACGGTCTTTTTTTTATTCTGCGATACCATCCGTCGACGCGACGCTTCGATGGTCGTGCTTCGGGCGCGGAACTTTCCTCGTTTTCTGGCAGGTTCTCGGGGAAAGAGGGTACAACAAGGGTACTTGGTCTATTTCACCCCCCTTCCGGCGGCCCGGTTTTTACTCTGCGCGAAGAAAGTTCTGTGTTCGATTTTACGAACGTTCGGTGTGTATCGAAGATCGATAGCTACGTCTACACTGAACAGCAAAGGGGTTTTGTAACTTGGTACAAGATTAGAACGTTTGGACAACGCTGGAACAGATTTCTAATAACATTTCGTATGTCATTGTTAATAATGGCGTGACACTTGATGAATAACGTGTAACAGCAGTCGAAGGCATCAGCTTTAAGTACTTATCCCTTCATTATTTGAATTTCTTACCACTGCGTCAATTTGACATTGAGGGACAAATTATATTGGAAAAACAAGGAACAGATGAGGATTAATTTCCGCGGTGTCTGAGTATGTATATACTTTTCCACTTAAATCATTGAGGATCGAGTAGAAAGAACGTCCATAAATGTATTCTGTTATGGAAGTTATATCTCATTATTATCTCACGCATTTGCATTTTATACGAGGATCGTATCGTTAGCAGCTAATTAATTTACCATTCGATGAATAGCAATTTTCTCGTAATCAACTCCACCGAGATACATTGCGTTTTCATTGATATTCATAAACTCCGCGAAAACAGCTTTAATATTTCCGCCCTTCCGCTTGCAATACTTACAAGAGTTCTATATAGAGTATACTTCGAAAGAAAAGTCGTAGAAAATCATAACGTATCGTTTTTCCCCATATCAATTTCGAAAGTTTGAAACGTTAAAATTTCGCAAGATCGACGAAATTTCGTGAAGCATATCTTCAAACTCGAATGACAACGATTCGCATGAGTAAGGGAAACAGGGCAATCCGGTTCGTCCTATTTTCCTACGGTTTTCCACGGTCTGGCTGGCAAGTTCTCGGCGTAAGCGTCGAGGCGCCAACGAGGTCGCCACGAAGAAGACGTCCCATCGAAATGTCAGAGACGGGTGAGAAGTGGGGAACGGGCGAGGAATTCAGGAGCTGGCGGATTGAAACGTGCTTACACGTAATTCGTTATTGCGGGCTGAAATACGTGGCCTTCCGCGGGAAGCGTCGATTCGGCGGTCGAGGCACGTCGGGACGCCTCTGCGGACCCCTGGTGTTGGCGCTGCGCCGCAACCTAACCTGTCGATCGATCGATCGATCGATTGATCGATCGATCGATGTATCAATTCAAGGACCGCGGACACAGAGATTTCCGTATGTGTCCTCGGCTGAACCGAATTCCATTGTATTAAACCGGGTCGTCCTGCGTAAATTTTAGTTCAATTATACAGAATTGCTTCGAAAGTTATGTACAACCGGGCATAAGGTAGATTCTACCTGAAAACATAAGTTGAAAATATAGAATAACATTTTTTTTATTTCAGACTGTGCTCTCGAAAAATATCGACTTTGAACATTAATTTGAAACATACGTGTATTCGTCGTTATATTAAGTAGAAACGGAATGCAATAGACAGACATACGCTAGCTAAGTCAAACACTACTGTTTGTGTCAGAATACTGTTGAGTGTCTGATAGAGGATTGACTTGTACTACTAGAAAATAGACTGCAGTGTTATAGAGGCAATCTACTAAAAAATTTGTATATAAAGCTTCTTGTAAAAGTAATTTCTCGACTTGAACTGAATTTTTAATAGAGTGGACTCTTGCTGTAAGTGAATTCGATGTAACTTTTAAGCTGAGGAACTACAATCAAAGGACTGAGAAATATACTAAACAAAAACCTAATGATCCATTAAATTAGACCGAAATCCAATTGCAGTGTACATTTACCCGGAAAAGTGGACGGAAAAATTCAAGTGAGAAGAACCTAACAACGGGTCTGCTTCGACACCTATTAAAACTTTCTCGCTGGACCGTTCTCATTCCTCGAGTCCTTGTTTTCCTATTAAAATTTCGTCGGTCTATTAGAAACGTATTAAAATCACTGAAAACGAAGTGAAAGATAATCCAGTCGTTTCACAAGCTGTGAATCGTCGACTTCGAACTCGTTACTCGAGTACCTACTTATAACAAGAAAACAGCAATCAAGCTTCGAGCGTAGCGAAGGACACAATTCGCCCTGTGTAATACATGGAAATTCTCTTTTTATTCTTTCAGGCGATGGCGGAGGCGCCGGCGGAGATGGCGATCCCATGGTCTGCGGCGGGAACTCCGAGAAGAAGACGGGATACGAGACCAATCTCTTCCTTTATAGTGTAAGTAACCCTCATCACGATCAATGCCGCCAATCTAGTCGCAAAATTACCACCAAACTCCGATATTTCCGTTGCAAATAATGAAAATCTTTCTCTACAACCGACAAATCAAGCGGTATAACTTTATTTATCAATCGACCCACGAAAATGATTACCACAATTCGCAATCTTCCAAATGAAGGCTGTTTCCAAAGTTCTGAGAAGCGCTATACGATTCTTGGTAATTCTTAGAGCAGACGGAACACATCTCGTAGAAAGTTTCGCGCAAATTCACCGTCTATAAAGACCGTATCGATGGGAGTTATCAAAGGGAATTCGAAATCATGGACGAGGAAGCCGTCCCCTTTGGATCAGCGACGCGATTATCGTGGGGGCTGTGGATAATGGACGGTTCGCGCTGGTTAAGTTAGAACGGATAAGAAAAACTGGGACGTCGGAGGCTTGGCCGTCCCTTTCTCGAAAGAAGGGTCCTTCATTAAAACGCGAGAAACTGAGAGGTCGGGGACGGACGGACGGTGGGTGGTGTCGGTACAGAGGGAGGAGGAGGAGGGAGGATGGAGACAGGGGCTGAATTCTCTCGAGTGTGCAATTCGCTTAATTGTCGTTCAACGGAACAAGCAACCCGCGAATGGATTCTTCTGCGGTTGTGCATCTCTTTTATTGTTCCGTTGAACGTTGTCCTTCGTCGGCAGTTTTTTTTTTATTCTTTTCTATTGTCCCCTCCGCCACGACGCTGGTTGCTTTCGAAGTGTCTGTCAAGTTTCTCGCATTGAATCGCTCCTTTGACCTTTGTACAATTGAATTTCGGACCCGTGGATTTTCTTTGTTTTTTTCGCTTATCGATCGATACGTTTGTCGAAAGATTAAGCCTTATTGCTTACCATTTATACGGTGAATTTTAATTACGTTCCGTTACGGCAATACGTTTTTAATTATCTACTTGTTAGATCAGACTGTGTTCTCGTATACTTGGGAAGTAGCGTCCCGAGTCAAAAGACCTGTACTTTTTTCCTTCGATAAATCAGAATATACTCTGTGCTTTTTCAACATCGGAATTATCTAAAAAGTTTCACAATTTCTCCAGTTTCCACGAAAGTTCGATTCGGTTCAGACATCCTGTTGAAAACCGACCGAAGCATCCGAAAGGATTTTCTCGAGAGTTTCTAAAAGATTTTTCTAACAGAGCTTTAATCTTAAATCCCTCCATCCAACGAGTCCATCATTTTTTAATTTCATCAATCCCTCTAATCTTCCTACTACTGAATTCCGTTAGTTTTTGACGATGGAAAAATAGTTTCTGCGTAACAACTCGAATGCGACTCGGTCGAAAAGATTTAACGGAAAGTCATATCCGACAAGGGGCCGTGAAATTCAATTTAAGTTACCATTTAAAGTGAATTTTCCTGCTATATTCCCTCTAAATTAATTCCCTCAGTTAATCGATGCAATTATCCGATTTATAAAAGGCTGGGGTTGGTGCAATACCTATCCGTGTCTTGTCTGACCGCCTTCGACTGCCTTCCAGGGGGCTTTATAATAATCCACGTTTCCAAGTTAACTCGGATTCTCCTGCGTCTAGATTGGACGTGGTGAGAAGAACGCCAGTGATATTCGAAAGGTGGTAAAAACTTTCAATGGAAATTGAAAGGGTAGTGAATTGAACGGGTCTAGAATCCATTCGAGTCCCCGGGGCAAAATGGCCGCTGAGAACTCATTTGAAATCGCGAGAAACAGCTTTGGCGATCGGAACAGTTAATCCATTAAATCCATTTTACTACGTTATACGGGAAATGTGCTTTCCCTCGCAGTGACGGGAAAATTTCTCGAAAGTTATCGCGGACTGTGTGTGCCCGCCGTTCGTTCGACGGAAACTTATATGAGCACCTCGTTTATGAGCTGGGATACGACTAATAAAATACCAAGGGCCACCAGGGTACGCGTTATATAACCGTCCCCCGTCGAACTCGTTAAGGGCAAGTTATAAAACACAACAACGAGATTTTCCCTTCGTTTGTGATACTTCAAAATCCCGTAAAAGCTCGCGAAATGATCGTATTACACGGGGCAGTTTCAGAATCTATTGAACGGCCGTCGTTCGCGCGGGGGAAAACTACGATTCTTTGAATTGATGTTAACGACATTAAAAAAAAAAAACAGATAATCCCCTTCAATTCACTGAACTACTCCCGAAAAAATCTACATTTATGAGACTCATGTGAGTTACAAACGGAAAGAGAATGATCGTGATAGTCGAGAAAATTTCCAAGTGACCCGCTTAACCTATTCTCCAATACGACCATTATCGACCCGAAGGACGAGAAACAACATCGATATTCCATCGCCTGAACATTAAGAAATTAATCGTGCCGTTATATTCCACCAACTTCCACGGTAATTTAAATTCACCGTCGAGTAGAACGAGAGAAGTTCCGTAATTAAATCGTCAGTCGAGCTGAGCGAACGGACGTCATTTTCTAACCGAACCAGGGTTTCACTATCAGTTGAAAGACAAACGGGGGACAGACACCGTCGATAGAATTCCCCGGGGAATATTAACAAACGAACGGTTTAATTCTATCCACTTCGTCGGCAATGTTGTCAACATTTTCTTGTTTTTTAATTGAATCTGCAATCGAACGATAATGAACTGGCGGCGGCCATTTTGTCAGTGGAAGAATAGCCGCGCACTTACGGTGTGCACGACCGTGTGTTACTCGAACGATTGCAATTCCGTGCTCCGCGGGCGAAGCCGCATGAAAATGAGAAGAGAAAGAAAGAAAAAAAAAGGCTGGTCCAGAGAGCGATGCGAGCCACCACCAGCGGGACTGGAGCGTGCCGTTATAGCCGGTTAATTAACGTGATCTTTTCGGTCGGTCGGATGGAGGTTGGGCCCCTGGAAACGCGGTTCGGCTTCGACCTCGATTCCTGGATATCCAATTATCCGTTTCTCTCTTCTTACCCCACCGGTAGAGTCCGTCGAAATTATCTCCGAGTAGGACAGAGGCTTATCGACGTTGATTTCCAGCGCACCACTGCCGTATTTCTTCACCGTCGTCCTCTTTGCCGTTGCGGGGCAAAGGCAAAATGGGACTGAAAATTCCCTCGATCGTCCGTAAATGTAACGATTTCGTTCTATTTCATAGTCACGGCATTTTGTTGAAGATTGCCATCATTAGATACTCACGTGATAGAAAGTACCATTTTATTCTAAGTATTCTGAACACCTACCATTTTATGCTTTAACAATAGGACCTATTCATACTGGGAATAGGAGGTGCCAATCGTTCCTGGAGTTTGTATTTTATTTTCTGCCCCTTGATGCAGGAAGTAAAAATTGTATCCACTTCGTTCCCGTAATTTCTGTTCCTTCGTCTTTGTAAGAAACGTGCCCGTTTCTTTTCTTCTAATCGAGATTCGTAATCCAGGAAGTATCTTGGAAAGATTTTAATGAATATTCCTTTGAAATTACACAGAGGACCGATTTAATGAAAAGATTCCCGGGCCTGTGTGTGGTAGTTTAACCGGGAAATTTTTATTATTCACCGCCGATTACGGTACGCTGTTGCGGTTTCCGTGGCGCGAAACGATTTTCCATTACCGCCCATCCACTGGCCGTATTATGGATTCGGGGAGACGCAGATTGCGGGTTATCCTTCTCCCGACCGATAAAGTGTAGTCGCTGGAGTCACGTTTCGTTTAATTATCCCGCATCTCACGCAATTATCCCAGAACGGTTACGGTTAATGGTACGCGTGTATTTCACCTCGGTTTTTCCTATATAAAGAGGGAGCCTCGTAAAACGGACACGGTGGCTCGTTAATTCATTAATTTACTAAGCCCGTTGAACAATCCTTGACTCTCGAAATTTACCGATTTTCCCTCACCTCGTTCTTCGACTCTGTTCGTTTCATTCGAATATCGTGAAAACGAGAAATACAATAGAAGTGCTCCAATTTCTATTTTTCTACACGATAAATTTCGTTATTGAGCGCAACATTTTGTCGATTCTCGGTTTTGTGGAAAATTTTAAAACTACAGATGAAACTGGTCGCACGTTTAAGTAGAATCGTCTGTATATGGTCAGACATGACGAGTGACAATAACTAATTCCAGACCTTCTATCTCTGTGTCTGATTACTTCAAGTAGAAACGCACATATGCAATCAGACGACAGACCTATTATCTGTAGCCCCGTTAAAAGTCTTTATTTTCTTACGTACAGAAACAAGTAGAAAATTCCGCGTATTTCCTTGCACCGCCACGATCCGTTCTCTGTTTATTTTCAGGAAGAAATGGAAGATCGGCCTCGGATCTCGACTCTGCTCAACAGTCTATCGAATTATAGCAACACGATCCCAGCCGCGACCGATCCGGACGCGAAACCGCCACCGGTGCAAGGTGGAGCACGTATGGGCACGTTGATTGGCGTCTATCTGCCGTGCATCCAGAATATCTTCGGCGTAATCCTCTTCATCCGTTTGACGTGGGTCGTCGGCACCGCTGGCGCCATATACGGTTTCTTCATCGTGCTCTGTTGTTGCTGCGTGGTGAGCACCTATATGTATATCGGATTAAACGAATGAATTTAACATATACAAGCATCGAAGATCAGACTAGCTACACATCGTCTTGACATAAACTGGTCAATCTTTAGTTTCCTCGATTTGATAGACCAGCGGATTTTCCTGAAAAATAAAATTTTATAAAGTGGTTCATAAAGACATGAGAAAAAGTAGGAATATCTTTGTCCTCTTAACACGTTGACTGGCACAGTGAAAAAGTCCGTACGTAGTCAGACACGATTTATTTCATTTTTAGATACTTTCATAGAGGGACACACTGAAAAGAACTGTTCCCTGCATTACGCAGGTCCCATATTCTTTAGATTGAAATTAACAGATCTTTTTTTATTCAGACCATGCTGACCGCGATCAGTATGAGTGCCATCGCGACCAACGGCGTGGTGCCTGCAGGTGGGTCCTACTTCATGATATCACGAAGCTTGGGCCCAGAGTTCGGCGGCGCGGTGGGGATGCTTTTCTACACCGGTACCACGTTAGCCGCTGCTATGTACATCATCGGTGCTGTGGAGATCGTTTTGGTAAATTAGGAACATCCCTATCAGTATTCTGAAACTTTCATCCGACGATTGGCTAAATCTGCTTCACCCCTCTCTTGTCACACCTCTCCTTTTTGAAACGTAGTTGTCACACTGGGTCAATTTTACCCCAGCCAGTATTCCATGAGCCATTATTTAAAAACTGTTTGTTAAATTAAGTCGCAACAAATTCTGAGATGAAGTTCGAACATTGTAGATTATATTTTCATGGTTAAAAATTAACATTGAAAGCATCATCGTGTTTGAAAAAATTGTTAAGAAGAAAAACGAAATTCTGACAAAAACTTTATTTAGGATACCTGAAACTACTACTATATGGCGTTAGTAGTACTATTTCCAATGATGCCTCAAAGATATTTCACTTCAAAGAAAGTTCTCGGTAAATTTGACCCAGTCTGAGAATGGAGAGTTAACCGAAGATTTAACTAAATCTCGAAGAAATAGAACTTGTAGAAGTCGAAACTACTGTGGTACTGAACAGAAGTACTCCAGACAAAGTAGAAACGAATCCTGAGAGACTGGAATCTATTGAAAATTTAATACAGCACAGAACAGGATTCTCTTACAATCTACCAAAGTCTGATACAGTTCATCTGTTTCCAGACATACATGGCGCCCTCGCTGAGCATATTCGGCGACTTCACCAAAGACCCGAGTATAATGTACAACAATTTCCGTGTGTACGGTACCGGTCTGCTGTTGGTGATGGGCACGATCGTGTTCATCGGCGTGAAGTTCGTCAACAAGTTCGCGACGGTTGCTCTGGCCTGCGTGATCTTCTCGATCATATCCGTCTACGTGGGTCTGTTCAACAATTTCTACGGCAGCGAGGCCCTCAAGTTTGTAATCACTTTAACATCCTCCATCACAGATAACACGACGACCGGTCGTCAAGATTCGACGATTAAAAGAGTATCTTTGCCGTTTCCAGAATGTGCACTCTCGGTAAAAAGTTGCTCAAAGACATCGACGTGATGAACGACTGCAACAAGAACGTCAGCGGTGTTCTGCATAAACTTTACTGCGGCAACGCCACTGTCCTGCACAAGTGTGATCCGTATTACGTGGAGAATAATTTGACGATCATCAATGGTATCCGTGGTCTGGCCAGTGGTGTCTTCTTAGGTGAGTTAGATTCCATAGGTTTCTCAAGCATCGTTTCTTCGAAGGAATTCTTCCAAGTTATAATTACCGGATTACCTCCAGAAAACATTTGGGACAGCTTCCAAGAGGAAGGTCAACTGATCGCCTATGGGAAAGATCCGAAGGACATCGACCTCATGTCGTTGACCAACTACAATCAGATCCAGGTCGATCTTACTACCGCTTTCACCATTCTCATCGGTATATTCTTCCCCTCGGTCACTGGTAAGCTAACTGACTTACTTACTTATGGTAAAACATATTCCTGATATTAGTACCTCATTGATGAAGTTGATGTCTTGTATAGTGGACAAAGACCTCCCTCTACTTACTTACCGCCTCATTTAAAAGTTACACAAGCATACAGTTTTAAATCAAATTAATCGGTTTTGGATTCGGAAAAACAACTAGAAAGATTTTCTGAAAGTACAAAGCTAAAAGAGCAACTAGATAAAAAAAACTTTAGAAAAGCCTAGTTAGAAGATCCTTCTCTATTCCGTGCCCAGGTATCATGGCCGGATCCAATAGGTCCGGCGATCTAGCCGATGCCCAGAAGTCAATCCCGATCGGCACGATCTCTGCTATTCTTACAACATCGATCGTGTACCTCTCCTGTGTCCTGTTGTTCGCCGGCACCGTGGACAATCTCCTTCTTCGAGACAAATTCGGTCAGAGTATCGGTGGCAAGTTGGTCGTCGCGAACATGGCCTGGCCGAATCAATGGGTGATCCTGATCGGTTCCTTCCTGTCCACCCTTGGCGCCGGTCTCCAGTCCCTAACGGGAGCTCCTCGTCTTCTCCAAGCGATCGCCAAAGACAGCATCATTCCGTTTCTGACCCCATTCGCCACGAGCTCCAGCCGAGGTGAACCGACCAGGGCTCTGGTGCTGACGGTGATCATCTGTCAGTGCGGTATCCTCTTGGGAAACGTCGACTATCTGGCTCCCCTGCTGTCCATGTTCTTCCTGATGTGCTACGGTTTCGTCAACCTTGCCTGCGCTCTTCAGACACTCCTGCGAACACCAAACTGGCGGCCCAGGTTCAAGTACTACCACTGGAGCCTGTCCTTCCTCGGTTTGTCCCTCTGCATCGCGATCATGTTCATGACCAGCTGGTACTACGCTCTACTGGCGATGGTGATGGCCGGCTGTATTTATAAGTACATCGAGTACCGTGGCGCCGAGAAGGAATGGGGCGATGGTATCCGTGGTCTGGCCCTGTCAGCCGCTCGTTACTCCCTGCTGAGACTCGAGGAAGGACCGCCTCATACGAAGAACTGGAGACCTCAGATTCTGATCCTGGCCAAGTTGACCGACGATCTTGTCCCGAAATACCGTAAGCTATTCGCGTTCGCCAGTCAGCTGAAAGCTGGCAAAGGTCTCACGGTGTCTGTCAGCTGCATCGGTGGCGACTATATCCAGAACTCTGGGGAAGCATTGGCGGCTAAGCAGAGTCTACGGAAGACGATCACCGAGGAGAAGGTGAAAGGATTCGTGGACGTTCTGGTGGCCAGGAATATTGTCGATGGTTTGAGTTCGTTGATCCAAACCACCGGATTAGGCGGAATGAAACCGAACACCGTGATCCTCGGCTGGCCTTACGGTTGGCGACAGTCGGAGGACGAGAGAACCTGGAGAGTGTTCCTGCAGACGGTCAGAGCCGTGGCGGCTGCCAGGATGGCTCTGTTGGTACCCAAAGGTATCAACTTCTTCCCAGACTCGACGGAGAAAGTGGTCGGTTACATCGACGTTTGGTGGATCGTTCACGACGGCGGTCTGCTGATGCTGCTGCCGTTCCTACTGAAGCAACACCGCACCTGGAAGAACTGCAAAATGAGGATCTTCACGGTGGCTCAGATGGAGGACAATTCGATTCAAATGAAGAAGGATCTGAAGAAGTTCCTGTACGATCTCAGGATCGAGGCGGAGGTCGAGATTGTCGAGATGGTGAGCACTTTGGATAATTTAACAGTTAATCAAACTTAATAGGAGATTACAGTAAATCATCGACGAGTGTTCGAAGGCTCCTCGGCAGATCGATGGAGAAATTTTTGTGGTCCGTCGATCATCGTTTGCCTGAAACAGTTAACTAAACTTTATTCCACGTCTGAGATACCCATATCACTTAATCCTACCAACTCTTGTGTCTGTACTATTATATATCTATACTACTGAGTCATTTCCACTGATGTTTCTCCCCACGTCTGGAACTATCTTATATCTAAACCACTTCAATCAATTCTGGTCTATTCCCAGAACACGATTTGATCTGATCACCCTGTACAATTGGTGTTCACAGATGGATTCCGATATATCAGCGTACACATACGAGCGAACTCTGATGATGGAACAGAGAAATCAGATGTTAAGGGAGCTCCGGTTGAACAAGAAGGAGTCCCTGGGCGTGGTAAGTGACGAGATCGCGTTACCGAAAAAAACACTGCTCACAGTTAGCAACAATATGAAATATATACTATATATACATATATATGTTCATTGCATACTATATCTACTTATATGTAATACTGTAAGTTAAGAACTGCTTCGTCGATACTGATCGGTATCTGTCTGTTTTGTTGCGTGCTCGTCACGGATAAGGTGCAGACATTGGTGGACTTCAACGAGGTACCCGCCGAAGACAATTTAGCTCTGGTTTGTCAGATAATTCCCGGAGTTCCTCCGTCTGTCTTTTTATCCCAATCTTTTCTTTCTCTCTTTCTCTGTCTCTCGAGTGTCATCGACACGCGTCCACCACCATATATACCCCCCTCCCCCTCGTCTCCGATTTACTCTCTTCATAACACCGCATCTTCTCGTTTGTCGACCATCTGACAAACTCACCAAACAACGAAAAGAAAAACAAACAATTGAACAGAAAAAAGAAACAATCACGCTTCGTTTGTAACCTCATTCAGAGAAACTGAACTCATGGAGGTGTGACACGCACACGGAAACACTCCGTTGCACACGTTCTCGAGACTCTATTGCTCGATAACCAAAAAAAAAAAAAGCAAAGAAAGAAACGAAAAATAATCTCCGCGCAGCATCGAATCAGAGAACACACATCATCCCCTAATCGAAGCCTCCACCAGTTTGCTTTCTTGCTCATGATTACCTATACATATATTATAATGTAACACATACATATATACATGTATATGAGAATAATTATAATACTTGTCCCTGGAATGCCCGATCGAGGGCTCCAGTTTCAGCTTGATTGGCACGTATCATACCGAACGCTTACATAGTGACTCATTTCGTTTAGCCAGAATCATATATTATATAGAGTGCTTTGACGCTAGTGTTTAGTCGTCTCTCGGCTCTCACACTTGACTTTTGTCTCGCAACGAGATGTGACTTGACTAGGCACCGGTCACGATTCACGTTGCTTCTCTGGAACCACAGGTGCAGGCGATCATCGATCATCATCATAACGTGGACGTGAAGGTGGCGACCAAGGTGAGATTCCAGGAGCCAGGCAGCCAGACGGCGGCCGACGAGGCGCAGGAGAAACTGGTCCAGGAGACCGAGGCTGAAAAAGAGTCGGAAACGGAGGACAGCAGCCAGACGGCGGGTGACGGAAAAGAGGGCAGCAACGAGGAGGACAAGCTGATCGGCGGCTCGCCCAAACAGGACAACAAGGAGAACACGGAGAAGGAGGCGAAGGAGAACGAGGAAAAGAAAGAGACCCCGGAATCAAAAGTCATCACACCGTGAGTATACGGGCCTTACGATGACACACACGATTATTAAACGAACTTCGTGAATGATCTGACTGTCCGGATGTATAACCACGTTTCCAGTGACGAGGGCGACGTGAGACGTATGCACACATCCGTGAAGCTGAACGAAGTGATCGTGAACAAGAGCCATGACGCTCAGTTAGTCATCCTCAATCTTCCTGGACCACCGCGGGACACCAGAATGGAACGTGAATCAAATTGTATCCTTTTTTCGGACGTCCACGCGTTAGACTTATGTTCCCCTTAGATCTCTTCATTTGGTAGGAAATCTAGGAAAACAAGGGACCAGGGGAGCAGAACTTAACAGGACTTGAGGCTATCCTATAATAGGACGGTAGAAACTCGATACTTGCACGCGAACGTTGTCAGTTGCGTTAACGTGGAGGCCTTTCCGCGTAGTTAACGCGACTATTACTCTAATCGTGGTTCTATCGTGTGTTCTTTCTGAAAAAAAATTATATTTCCCCTCCATCTAAGATTATTTCCTCCTTCTATTATTGATTTCCTTGACCAATGGAAACACAGACATGGAATTCCTAGAAGTTCTCACCGAGGGTCTGGAAAGGGTGCTGATGGTGCGCGGTGGCGGACGGGAGGTGATCACGATCTACTCGTGAACTAGATCGGGATGGATCGAAGTAACCGCCTCGCAGAAGCAGAAATCTAGTTTACTTCTCAAAGACCTAAACGACTTCATCCTAAGGAACACGTTGCTCTTGTGCCATTATCTGAGCAGTCACTTGCGTTTCGCGTTGTGAACACACGGTTACCGTTAAGAAAACAAAAAAAAGATTAACAAACACACACGCATACACTTATACACACACTATAAGACACACACACACACAGAGACTACACACAGAAAAATAAGAAACCGAGCGAGTACGGACAAACGACGACGCCGTATTCGCGGGTCTCGGTTGGTGGACTTGGATCGAGTAGGATCACACGTAGGCTCGTTCCAAGGCCTGACCGTCGAGAACGCCAAAAGTGACATGCCAAAGGATAAGTTTCCTTTTCAAATGAATTTCACATGTAAACTAGGATTACGGTAGGATCTATCTCTTATTTACACTCGTCCCTTTCGCGAATGAGATAGACAAAAAAGTGGTTTTAATCCGTATATACACACACATACACAAATTACACGCACGACACAAAGAAGAAAAATCCGTCTAACGATCGGAAACACACACACACACAGACTCTCATATACACACACTCTTCGTACGGTTAAAGGAAGAAAAAACGGAGAGAAGGGGAATTTGGGTAGGAAAATTCGCGGAGGACTGCACACCACTGGAGCGTGTCCCGATTTTATTAATTGATATCAGATCTCTCGAAACGATCGCTCGTACGGACGTTGTCGTTCGTTGCAAATTCGACGGATGTTCAAGAAGACGAAAGAACAGGCAAAGAGAAAATCAGAAGGATTGATCGACGAGGAAGAACAGATGACGACGTCCCAAAATAAATTCACTCCGATTCTAATTAACTCTCCCTCCCTCCCTCCCTCCCTCTCCCCCCCATTGAAACTGAAATCAAAATTTTTGGTCCGAGGCTAAGATCGAAGCATCTACGAAACCACTGCCAGAATACTTTCTAAATGCTTCGCGTTTAACCAAAGACGCGAGAGGCTCATTTTTCTACACGCATTGTCGTTATAGAGAGTATATATATATATATATATATATATATATATATATATATATATAATAGGTATGTATAATTCTACCAGCTTTATAGGTCAGAAACTTAGGGTAGCATAGGATAGCGCGCTCAACTAACACCCAATGGAACGCGTGCGCCCGCATGCGCATCGAAAGTCACGGGATCGTGTGAACGCTGCCGCGCGTTTCGAACTTTGGCTCGCGTGGACGCTGTGCATCCGACCTCGTGAAAAATAGAATCACGTTCGATTTTCCACCCTGGATCCCGAACACACGAAGCTGGAAACATTGGGAACGAGATCGTGGTGGATACTCTGTTTCGTTCGGAAAACGCGATAATTCACCAGGACGATGACTACCACGGATGTGGTCGTCGTATCGAGAAAAGTATATAATATTACTGCCAAAGATCTTGGAATTAGGATTAACTTTGACGCTAATCGTAGCTGAGGGAATTCGAACGGATTGTAACTTTGTAATTCCTGAAACTGTGACCCTTAAAACAATACTTCGTAACCTTGACAGAATAATCGACGATTACAGACCTTCGACATTATTGACTATATTAACAAAACGTTCATTTTATCGTAAGGATTCATTTTCGAACTAGGAATGAAAATCGAGTTAAAGACGCGATGTTAGTCACAGTGTCGTTCCAGAGTTAGAGATACGTGACTGGTTGGATCGTTTTCACAGAGGATAAACAGAATACTTGACTAAAAATTAAGGGGCTAATAAAGTTCCAGGATTCTTGTATGAAGATTTAAAGTTATCGAACCCAAAGAAACATATTACCGGAGGGCTTCTTAAGAATTACTGATCCTGTGATGTCCGAATTAAATTCTGGAATTTAGACTCGTTACTCTATTACAAGTTAGCATGGTGTATAGGTGGGCAAAGATGGCCTAAGCAAGAGATAGGAGACTAAGAAATCCATCCGTTTGCTTTCTTCTCTTGTTCATACACTGCCAGCCAAACTGTGTATGATGCCTGTCCAATGTGTGACCGTCTCTCGTTCGTCTCACGTCACGTACAAGGGAACCGTGTCCCACGCGAGGATCTTCATCATCTGGGCATCACTGTCCAATCTATCAGTACCTAAAGATCGCGAATATTTATTCGCTTCATGCGTCGTTCGTCACAAGAGAAACTATTATATTCTCGGACAAAATTGTATATTTCTTACTAAATCGGAAGAAACACGACTGATTGTGAATCTCCGCGTTAGATCACAATGGCGGTGAACGTGTCGATCGATAGAGGGCATTTCGAAGTTGGACAATCTTCTCACAGTCCACCGAAGACCACACGATCGTCGAGGTGTACCACTAATTATGAAAAAAAAAATAGAAAAAAAAAACGAAACACCGAAAGTTCAACAGGAACGTTCAGTAACGCACAGGTGAAACTCCCATTCACTGTTTTATACTTGGGATCGATCGATCCCGCGTCCCCACGAGCGAAGGTTCGAGACCAGCAGCGTTCCCCTCATCGACAAGAGAGAACGATCAATGGCGAACGGTTTCACGCGTCTCTTACTTCCGAACTGATGCTCGTTCCTTTTTTCAATTCGTGATCGCCGACCTGTCCGCGCGCGTCCGATGTCTTCGCAGTCCACGTGTCCGCGTGCGCACTTATCGAATAGGCCTACAACAAACGGTCACGTGACTCCTGGCGGACCACCATATGTGTCGCGGAACGAGCACGCGACGCGTCAACGGGCAAAAAACGACACACACACACGGCGCGCCGTTTCCTTAACCGAGGACTCTCTTATCAAACGATATAGCGATTAGGCGACCGGTCGCGTTTAAGTGTCGTGTGCATGTCACGTTTCATGCACGGCCCGAGGACTCCCTTCGGCCGTGTTTCATTTAGATAGGTACTATCTAATACGTATATACCTATACATATATATAAATAAATAAGTGAATACCCTATCGTATGTACGTACAATGCATGTGTGCAAAATTGTGTATACAGTGTGAGCCGAAACATATCGTGTAACAGTTGGTAAACGGACGATTCCTTACGCTATAAGATAAATTAAATATTAAACCGACGCTGCTGTACTAGAATATTCGATTTAGAGAAGTCTATTATATATTAACGAAAGATGTCTCAAGACTTTAATGGCCGCTGTCACATGTACGCGATTGTTATTTCTTTCGACATCCCGTTACGATGGTTAATTATGTTCAGGGTAATTTTTCACGGAAATTGTATAGTTTCATAAGTGTTTTGAGTTGTGAAATCAATCCTTTCTCCGTTGAACCACGATCACCGGCCCAGTCTGTATATACAGCGCGCATGCGTGTGTGTGTGTGTGCATACGCGTGATTAATAGTTTATGTACGAAGGGAGCCGCGGAGGTCTTTTTAAAAGCGGACTGTACACGTAGAGGCGGGTGACTTATTGCATACCGTCACGTTGTCTACTTAGTCGTATGTTCGTGAACGTGTCACGGTTCCGGGACAAGAGTTTAATCGGCAACAGGAAAGAGTCGAGCGCTCGGTGAACCTTCGCCCGCCGTATTGCGGACCGGCTGAGAGGAAGAACAGTTAAAGAATCTATTCTTCGATAGGAGGAACAGTTGAAGAATCTATTCTTCGAGAGGAGCGAATAATTCTGACTTGTTACAATCTTCGGTTCCCCGACGATATACAGGGTGGTCCAAGGAAACAGTGCTCGGAATCAATGAAATTTCCGCTTCGTGTACGAAGCAGTCGTCTCTTCTTATGCATCCCACTTCAGCGAGTTAGTTGTTCAAAGGGTCACCCTTCGTTGACCAGAGAAGACGAATCAACTCGTTCTTTGTACTTATCGTTTCATTTCTTTTTTTTAATCGATTCACACTATAATCAATCACTGGATACAGTGTGATCCATGTACTTCAAGCTTCCAAAGTCCCAGCCGACGTTCTTCGAACACCCTGTTGTACACGATCAGGAAAGAAGAAGAATATCCAAATGAAAGTAATACAAGTCTAAAAGGAAGACGAGCAGTCGATGCTCGAACGACTAGAAACTCGAGCGTCCGTATGTATCGAGTAGTCGTTGCGTCTCTTTTTATCTACCTCACCGGCCAGCGTCTTTGTTGGAGAGTCGGCGATCAGAGGGTGAGAACGCCACCACCACTGGCGCGCCTCTCGTCTTAGACAGTGGGTCGAAAGATGAACCAGGATGAACGGATCCACACAAAAAGCAATACAACGTCGAAAGACAGAGGACTAAAAAATACCGAGAAAACGGGGAAAACGATCGACATCGAGGTCCGCCGGGGGACAGAAAACACGCTTAGGTTCACGTGACGCGCTCCCTCTCTCTCCCTCGTGTCTATCGTCCACGGTGTTGCGACGTGTACCTATTGTACTTTCTAATTTTAATACGTTATTCACTTGTCGACTACCATATATTTTATGTGCACCTGCCTATCCGATAGGCATCAGGCACTGCATAGTTTATACGAAACATGTTGACTATGAGAAATGTTTATTCGCGGATGAATCACAGGCGGGAGAGCCGCCGCGAACAGAATCTGGAAGGATCGGAGCTGAATAAAAACTATCAGTGGAATGGGAGGGGGAAAAGCTGTTCCGGGGTTTGAAAAACATTGATTGTAAACGCGTTGTATATAAGTATAGATAGACTTAATGGAGGATGAATTGAAACTACGAGCAAGGAACTTTGAGGAGTGGCCGAGAAGAGAGGCAAAGAATATGTAAAATTGGATTGTTTGAATATTGGGGGGTAGCGATTGGAGGGGGGGGGGGGGGAATGTGGAGGAACATCTTTTTCATAGATCGAACAGTATTGCAGTGTAAAATTCTGCTGCCGCTTTAATATTTTACTATGTCGTATTTACTCGATGAGAAAAATAAAATGCACAATTGACCATATGGACACACGTACGAAAGGGAAGAAACCACATTACAAGACACGCGTTACGTAAGTGTAAAAAACAAAAGAACACAAAAAAAAGTGGAAATGCAGAAAGGTAAAAAGATATTTTTATAAATTCTATATATATATACACACAAAATATAAGTATATATATACATAGTATATACAGACAAAAAAAAGTAAAAGAACACTGCGAGCTTGGCGATCGTCGAGGGACTTGTCGTTGCGTCGTTTGCGGTGCGTTCCGTTTTGAACGGGCCTCGCGTCTGGTTTAAATCACCTCTTAGGCTGTGAGATGCGAGCTAAGCAGCAGAAGAAACTTGCTCGAGACCTCAATCATATGTGTCAAATCAAGCGTATATCACCTATATACATATATACATACTTTTAAAACGCGAATGAAAGAATAAAATTTAAACAGGGGGGACAGAAGAAAACGGTACACGGGGTGCGACAAGGACGATGAAAAAGAAGAAACACGTCTCGTCGACCCGAGTGTTAGCCCTGTTCAGCCGAGATTTTCCTCGCTCGTGGCGACGACACACCACTTAGTTTTTTCTCTTCTCGCGTCATCTTTTAGAGTTCGAATTAACGCTAACGGAAGAAAGAAAAAAAAAAGCGTCCGAACGAAACGCATTAAACGATAGAAGAAACAGGTAAAAGAAAACGAAGCAAATGAAAGGGAAGAGTACGATAACACACGACGATTTATCGATGTATGGAACGGGAACGGGGTGGAATGCGTGAGAATATATGTATATATAGATATGCACATATACGAATTCTATATATATGTGTATATATGTATGTATATGTATATGGAAGAGGTACAAGATATATTTGTAGATACGAAAACACTTTAGCCATCTGATTAGCGTATGTAATAGAGTCAATACTGTGAAATACCTATAAAAAAAAAAGAAACTTTACCCTATACCCTTTTAGATTATAGACAATGATGAAATACTTGTAATTAACTTATGGAAGACGAAGTCTAATGAATGAAGAAACTTTATTGCGATCAGATCGATTACATAAATAAACGACATACAACCTATACAGACTAAATTTCTTCTTGGTGCCTCTGTGTTATCGGGAATTACGCGATGCTTAATAGCTTAATAATTAAACATGTAATGGACCAATAAAATTTCACAGGAAATCTGAATTTGATGCCATCTACGAGCGAAATGCTCAAGTTACCAGCCGATTAGTACTTATTCGTGACAGTAGACGGAGTCATTGATCAACTCCACTAATGAAACATTCCCTCCATTTCATTCGCGTGCCATAGAAGTTGGTAACAAGAGAAAAACAGCTCCGTCTTTAGTGTCGTGTATTGTGGTGTATTGTGCCTGATTGTGCCCAATTGTATCTTCAAAGTGTATTATCCGTGTTAAGTAATTAGTTTACATCCAATATCTATTTCTTCCGTCATTTTTTATTTTCTTCTTAACGAAACTTCATCGTTACAATTGACCTATCAAGAATACTCATTGGAGGAACTACATACGTGCCGTGACTTTGTAACCAGTCTTAATGACGTGAGAAACGAGGTTAGAAATGTTTTCGATTTGTTAATCGGTGAAAAATAATACATTTCTCATGCTCGACAGAGTGGAATATAAACAGTATGTGTATGCACATATATTTCAATTAAAAGTAAAAGTATCATGAAACGCGAGATACGCCGATGTCCTTCATACAGAGAAGATATTTAGTTTCTTCGGATGATTGTAACAATAGTCACACGATTATTCTTCTGTCATAACAATGTTTTCATTCTTCCATTCTTATTCCATCGTTGTTGAATTACAGTGCATTATAAACTTCTGCATTTATAATTAGTTCCCGATTACGTTTTGAAAAAGGAATTGTTTATGAAGTAAAGTAAAATCTTAATTAAAAATAGCAAATTGTTATAGTTACAATTTCACATTGTTTTTCAGGCGACCAAAGTGTTAAAATGCCATTCAAATTTCATCTAAAAAAAAGTAGACAATACAATGTGGTTTCAAAGAACCAATATGTGATCTGTGTTGAACTGTTAGATACAACATCCATTGAATGCACACTGAGCATTGACAGTTTAGGTCAGGAATGTTTAGATAATGTGACCCAACGTTTAGGCTTGGGCCAGCCTGAGTTCTTTGGTCTTCGTTATATTTCTCGACATGATTCCCCATCTCCAAGATGGGTAGATATGGACAAGCCATTGAAGAAACAGCTAGAGAAAGAGGCAAAAAATTTTAGCCTCTATTTGAGGGTCATGTATTATGTTACAGATGTACAACTTCTTCAAGATGAGATGACAAGGTAATAACGATGAATTAATATCCTAAATAATCCAATAATATTTCATTATTTTTGTTTTTCAAATGTTCTCTCAGGTACCATTATTATCTCCAGCTCAAAAGTGATGTAATGGAAGGAAGATTTTCTTGCAATCCTAGGCAAGCTATGCTTTTAGCAAGTTATTCAATGCAAGCAGAGTTTGGTAATTATGATACTGAAAGGCACACAATGGAATGCTTGCAACAGTGCACATTATTTCCTAAAGTAATAAAAAGACACTCAGTAGATTTCACTTTGAGGTTTTGTCATTTAATGTAAATGTGATATTTTTTCATTTCAGGATGTTATTCAGGCAGATTCTGGTGGCTTAGATTCTCTGTTGCATACTGCTGTATGCCAATACAAAAATCTGGTTGGTGTTACCCAAGCTGCATCAGAAGAGTTGTACATTTCTATTGTCATGCAGTTAGAAGGATATGGCAATGAAACATTCTCCACTAAGGTATTCCTTTAATCCTATAATTGTAGTAGACTTAATACTCTTAAATCTTTTTGTCTATCCAATGGCAGGACAATGGAAACAATGAAGTAATACTAGGAATTTCTATTAATGGAATTATGGTCGTCTATCCAAGTACACAGACAACACAATTCTACAGGTAACATCGTATTGTAGATCTATTAGGACTATACAGAAGTATCCTGATAAATAAATATATTTTAGGTGGAAGGATATAAGCAATGTTATAAATCACAAGAAGACATTTAGAATAGAGTGTCAATCAGAGGGTGAAGAAGCAAAACAGTTCATATTTAGCGAATCCCGCAATGCAAAGTACGTGTGGCGTTTGTGCATAGCACAGCACACATTCTACATGCAACATCAGGAATCTCGACCATTAGAAAGATCAACTAACGGATATTTTGTAAATATCTATATATGCGACACGATTCGTCGAACGTCTAATAAAAACTATAAACTATTTTCCAGGATAGCGACACGAATGATTCAGGCGATCATGCAGTCTCTGTGAACCTGGATACTCGGAACGCAGACGGGCACACACGGTGGACAAGTTACAATGACCTATCGATATCACCATATCCTCCCGTGGTGTCGGTCTCGTCCACGGACATAAATAACTTGCGTGCTTTACTTCCGTCGTACAGACCGGCGCCGGATTACGAAACTGCCGTCCAAATGAAATACAATAACGGGGGCAATCCTCCTCAGCCTTATTACGCTAATCAGTCCACGATCGTTGGCGCTGATATTTCGTGCCTTCTCGGTAATGTTGTGAACCGAAGTAGATATTAAATTTTTACTTGTGTATCATAAATCGCTGCTAGAGGATGGTTGTATAGAACGAAAATAGGCACCTTAACAAAAAGGTATCGCAGAGTGTCCAGTTATCAATTTGACACGATCAAAGGATTCGAGGTCTTCATAGCTCGGCGACATACTGTTATTGATGTGAAAACATTAATGAAAAAAGTAACATTGACATTTTGTCAACTCAAATTCGAAATTTCAATCAATTTCAAATTGCAACGTTTGCGAAACTTCTTTGTAGGTATGGTAAGTGCTTTCAAGATTCAGTATTCTCTAATAACCATTCACACATAACACTTTATAAACATAATAGAGTATGTGATGGAGATTAATAGCAAAGACTGACACGCACAACTTCACCCACTGTTTTGTTTTTTCATTCTATACATGAGAATGTACTATTTCCAATGGGTGTTGTTTTTATGTTGTGAAAAAAAATGTCTCACCAGTTCTTTAACATTATAGAGAATGTTATAATTTATATTGTATTCATGTAGCTATGTATTGTATATACATGTTAAACACTTTTTAATCCATTTACGAAAATGTATTTATTGTTGTAACAAAAAATAAAATTTACAAATTTTATCAACCCTTTAAAGTGGCTGATTCAACAATCTGTGCTTTTAAAAAGCTATCAAAACAAGATACATAAATTATGTAAAGATATGGCAAATACAAATAACACTACAAAATATTAACAAGGAGTACCTTAATCCATTAAGACCTTAGAACGAATTAAATTCTTGATGTATAACTTGAATCCAAATATAAAACAATGATTATAGTCAAGAATATATTCAGTACAGTCTTAATGGGTTAATAGCCTTTGTGTACTCACACAAAATAACAATAAAGCATTATCACATCATTTCATCGATCTCTTCCTTCAGTCTCTTCTAGAACTTCACTTCTTTCAGCATCTTTAATAGATTTTAGTAATGATACAGGGTCAGGTTTGCTGGCAATGGCAAAAACTGTTAAACCAGCATCCAATAATGCTTGTCCAGTCACTGGTCCAATGGCAGCTGCTTTTATGTTACTCATATCGTAACATTTTCTCTTTAATATTGTCATTATACATTCTACAGCAGAGGGACTAAAGAAAGCAAATATTCTAGGTTCATTATCTATGAATTCTGACAAATCCTGTTCCAAAGTTTCACTGGGCAAAGTTCTATACACAATTATCTTGTTAACCCTTATACTATTTTCAGTAAGTGTTTTCTCAATTGTCTCCCTTCCGATTTCACTGCAAGGATACAGCAGAGGCTTTGACTCTTTGCCAACGGATGCTACTAATAGTTCAGCTAATTCTTTGGCATTTCCAGCCTTGCTACCAAAACAGTTTTCAGAACCTAAGTGACTTCTGGCAAAAGACTCAGTTGCTGGCCCCACACAGTACACTGGCAGAGTTCTCCAAGGTAACAGAATCCTGTCATTTTCCTTGGATGCCAGATTAATCGCCTCAACAGCTCGTTTACTCGTCAGTATGAGTCCTATTAAACAGAATAAGTTTTCGGGTATATTTGATGTTAAAAATTATAAAGATCAAATACTTCTCAAACAGCAGAAACATGAAAACTGATACCATAATACAAGCCTGGTGAATGGAGACACGTTCGAAGTTCCGGCGTGTTCACGAAGTTGAAGCACAATGTAGGCAGACAATTGCACGAATAACCTGCGGTTTTTAATGTTTTTACGTAAACTTCTTGAGAATCATTCTTTTCTGACAATCCGCCGCGACACAACACCACTCTTTCGTAACGCGGTGCCATGTTCGCGAATACAATGACCATACAATGCTTTTTTCTGTCCCAAGGCCTATGGCCACGGGTGGTCCGGGGGCTACAGAACCCCTTTAACATTTTAATGTCAATACCCGACGTTACCGATAAAGCATGAATTCTGAGTATTATTAGCACAAATGAAGTGTTATATATTCCATTTATATTGCGTGTATCTATATGATTTGACGGGAATAAAAATATCCGATGCTTCGGTTTAAGGTTAAGGGATAAATATGACAGTCATGAAGTGTCGACGCGTATCGAACGATGCCGAAAATGGTCGGAGTGGGCGAACGGGAGAGAGTGAGAGCGGTAGAGCGAGCCGCGGTATCGGTGCTCTCCGTCAGTGTCGACGCGTACCGAACAATGCCGAAGATGGTCGGAGCGGGCGAACGGGAGAGAGTGAGAGCGGTAGAGTGAGCCGCGGTATCGGTGCTCTCCGTCGGTGTGACGCGTGCCGAGGAATTTCGGTGGTCTATGGGGGCAGGTGTGCGAGCGAGAGAGTACGGTAGAGCGTGCCGCGGTATCGGTGCTCTCCGTCGGTCCAACGCGCTAGTGATGTTGCGTCACACAGTTTATTGACCTAGCCGTGTACGCTGTGTACCATGGCCGTACCTGGCCGTACCATCTGGTGTTTGGATCGTTCAAGGAGGAAGGTCGTTCAAGCCAGCAAAAACAATTCAACTTGCACAAACCTGTCAAAGAAACTAGCTGTTGCGTAATACCCTACGTAGGCCCAATACATAACAGCGTTAGCTTCCTCACTTTCTCGTGAGCCGTCGCGGAGGGTGGGCGTGCGTCTCGTACTCGTCCTTTCTCTTGTTACTAATCCCTTGTATGTTACAGATGTTCGAGAACCATTGGCTTCGATATTTATCTTCTTATGTACTGTGATCTATTTACTGTGATTTATTTACTGTGTTTTCTATACTGTGATTTATTTACTGTGCATATTATTAATCTATTTACTGTGCAAATTGTTGTGTCCCCTTTCTTGTTACTAATCCCTTGTATGTTACAGATGTTCGAGAACCATTGGCTTCAATATTTATCTTCTTATGTACTGTGATTTATTTACTTTGCATATTATGTATTCTATGTGTATTGTATAATGAAAAATATTTTTCCAAACAGTTATTCCATCGAAAGAAGACATCGATCAACGTCTACATCTTCAAAGCGTGCGTCTACCACTGCGTTAAGTTACTGTAAGT